TTTTTCATTCTATTATTTTTTTTTCATGTCTGTCTATGATTTATTTTTTTCGAATAGAGAGCATACGTAGGCGTTTTATATATCGTTTAAAGAAGTCCTGTTATCGACGTAACTTAAACAAATGGAAATTTTATTTCGCATATTTTGAGAAATTTAAAATCAAATTTAATCATATAATTTTAGCAATTTTCTAAAAATATATAAAATATAAAATTAAATTTTATATAAAATATAAAATTAAATTTTATAAATAATCGAAATAAATTTGCCTTCCTCATACAATATATATAATTGACGTTTGTTTGCACACATACTTTAGAGTATTTAAGAATTTTAAAACCACTTAAAACTAAATACTAATTAATGAACGCACATCATTTTCTTGTATTTTATTTTTGATAACATTTTAGTATTTTTAAATTATTGTTACGTAAAACTGATACGAGATGAGATGGAATTTTTTATCATCGAAAGTCCTGCAAGGATATCGTTTATACGAATCGTATGATACACTTGCGAATATACTTTTTATCCACGGTGCTTTTCGTTGGCGTATAAAGCTTCCGGCGAATCCCTATCTCGATCGTTTGAGCACAGCGACCGTCACGTATTGGTACTTTTTTTGCTATGATTCGTAAAAAACATTAATAACGATCACGTACATGTATATACTTGCATGAATCTGCAGTTTATGACGCAATGCGGTTCTGCGCGATATCTTCTTAAGGTGGGGATGCCACACCGAAAAAAATAGCAAACGTGAATGTTCGCTGTTAAAATTCAGAAAATGTAATAATTGCGAACGTAACTTTCGTCGGTATTTCGAATTGAATCTAGCATGGGGCGATATATATCGAAGAATATTCCGACATGAAGGAAACTATAAACGCAAATATTTGATACAGCGTGAAAAGAAACGAGCAAGCGAAACTGTTCGTTCGCTCAGTGTATAACCATTTTTTACGATATACAGGGCATGTACCAGCGACAACCTCGATATATCGATCACTTTTACACGTGCGGATTATCAACGTAGAATTTTGTTTTCTCACTTTTAAGAAGATAAAGAATTATCCGACCGAAAGTTTGAAGCAAAGCCCGCAAAATCTTGTTTGCCTCATGACGTTCGCGCTCATAATTAATTAACTTGAGAATAACAAAGTTTCTTAATTTTTATCTCTATTTTACAAGATAATTTATTCTCTGGAGAAACCATGGGAATAAATAATCAGATGATGAATTGCCAATAATTAATTTCTCTCCTGCAATTTAAATGCGATAAATAATATTTACGGAAAAAGAGAAAAAAATATTTCTTCTCATACCTTTGATAAATTGATTAATTTATATCTTTTGTTTCAAAATATAGAATTAATACGGTGTTTTATTAATACGATTTTAACCTTTTTCTCTTTTTTCTCTTTCTTATGCAATTTAAATAACAAACAGTATTTTTTTCGATTTAATGGTCTTTCTGAAAGAACAAAAGATGCAGCTGTCCATTTTTTTATTTCACGTTATATGTTCAACGCTGAGGGATTTAAAGTATTAAAACAATAAGTTTATCGATACGAACAGAACCAATTACGTCGATAACAAGACTTCTTCAAATGATTTATGAACGTGGCTAGACGCGTGCTTTATTGGAGAAAAAAATCGTAAGTCATTGACACTGTCTGACTTTATAAAAAGTGGAAATTAATGACAAATATTTATTTATATTTTATTTGTGCCGTTTTTGTTCGTACAGAAATTTCGTTTCTCAGGGAATTCAAAACTATAGTATTTTTCAGTTTTTATCATATAATTTCTCTTAAAATAATGTAATTCAATCATTTTTAAGATATCGTAAAACAAGTTTGATAGAGAATCTTCTGATGTCTTGCATCCGTTCATAATTCCGTTTGCATAAATATTATGCAACCTGCATCTTGAAACGTTCGTTAAAGCAATATTAAAAAAAATATCTCATTGAAATATAATATTATCCAAAAAATTTTATTGAGAAAATACGTAAGAAATTATAATTGATAAAATTATTCTTTTTTAAATAAATACAATGCAAAATCATTATCAAATGGCTTATACAATATGTAAACCGATTAATGTAGAGAACCAGTATTTTTCATTTTATCCAGGCTAAACTAAAAACGCGCGAAACTTGTAGCCTGAAGGATTAAATGGCAGATAATGCACATGCAAAATATTAATTTTATCTGTTTACACAAATTATCTTCTGCATCATATAATATAATTTATATTCTAACTTAAAAAACAATTAAGATAAAATAATCTAATAAAATATGTTTTGTGAGAGTTTCGTAATAAACATAAATTATGCAAGCAATAATAAAACTTACTGCACTATTAATTTAATTTTAATAACTTTTAGTCACTTTTTGTGCCATGCCAAGGGTTCTATAAAATTTTCGAGAAAATTCTTATAATATTTTATTAACTATTTTAAGTGGATTTTTTCACGTTTTATTATTTATAGAGAGATCTTTCTAGTTTTACAGCATTTGTTTTTTGCGATGGAAGTAAACTTAACAATTTAAGAGAGGACAACCGCAAGCGATCGTGTTTTATTGTCGTTGATTTAAAATTTTTACGATTTGTTGAGTACTCGGATTTGGTGTGGGAATTCACGATTTTTCATCAAATTGCCGTAATAAGTGTTGGTTTATGAGCATCTTCAATCTTTAATAAAAAGCTGTGCAGCTATATTACTCTGCGCAGCTTTGTATTATTGTGTAGTTATAATGTAGCTTGAATCTTATACTTATATCTGCAGATCTTTCTTGTTTCCCTTCATTTTACAGTCGTTTTGCAAATTTCCAACTCTTAGTAATACTCAGGTTTATCTTTCAACTTATTTTTAAAAAATAATTAATATGGGAATCACGATTTATAAAGCAATTTCATTGGATTGTTTTGCAGCGTTACAAAATTTAAAAATACAATGTAACCTTTTACTGATTAAGAATAATAGTAATTTAATAAAAACTTGTGAAGTCGTGTGAGCATTTCTTTCAGCGAGTAGATTATAATCTTAAATTAATTTATAATAGCTTGACAGAACTTTTTTCCAAGAGCTAATTCGATTTTCCGTGAATATTCCGAATCTCTCTTGCAAAGGTTGTGTTCATTACACTTTGTTAATTAATCGGGCGTTTCAGACACACATGATTTTTTTTTAGAAAATTGCGCGTTGCTTTGAATCGCTTTACGAACCTTCCTTGGCAACTAAAACGTTCTTTAATAACTAAAACGTTATCTTATTGCAAGGTTTACCTAAAAGTATAAAATCGTTTACGTAAAATCAAAACTATCGTATGTATTGTACTCGGTAGCGCGAAAAGCAATTACGATCTCTTTTGTAGAGCATGATATTTGCAGGAAATCGATATATTATTCGCTCGAACGTGAAAATGACAAATTAAATTGAATTATTAACATATCGATGGTGCGAAGCATGCATCGCCGATTTTAATGGGGTTTGCATTTAAATGAAATTGATTTTTTTTATTTTTTTTCCTTTTCTTTTACATTGAACTTGCAAATACTTATGCGTTAAATTCAACCAGAGAGATTCAATACCATATCAAAACGTACTCCGATAAATATCGAAGCAGACTGAGATCCGTTCTAATTAGATTTCCAATCCAGTTGGAAAGCCAGCTATTTGCGAAGCACACACCTCGTTTTGGCTATTTATGTCCACTTTGTGCGCCATTAATAAAGGAATACGTGTTCGGATATTATGTCACGCACATCGTCCATTTTACCTGTTCTGTGACGATGTGTATTACAATGAGAATTTGGCTAATAATTATTTTGTTATCCTCACGCCATCATTTGCTGAGCTAAATTATAAAATATTACAACACGAGAGGTTTAAGAAATGTTCTCTCTATGTGTTTTAACTTATTAACTTCTTAAAGTTTATTGAACTTGTATCAGAATGTTAAATATTGAATTATACATAAATCGGAAAGTATAACACGAATAAATTAAATAAGATAATTAAAAAACATAATAAAATAAAAATAGAGATTATAATTGTCTGGTTTTTAAATTTTATTTTATAAATTTTAAAATTATATAATAAAAAATATGTATATAAACATGTGTGAAACGCATGGAATACGAGACAATTATTTTAAACAATTTTTAATTTTTCTGAACAGTTTTTAATCTGAAAAATATTTTAAGGAATTGTTCGAGTTAATACTTATTACATGCGGAATAATACACAGTAATATTTTCCTATAATTCTGCAATAAGCAATATCTTGATGGCAAATACAAACCGAGATCTGCGTGGCAATATACGAGAATTATATAGAAACGTACAATTTATTGTACAGTTCTGCGTAACATTGATTAATTAATATCATCGAGTAACCTACTTTTGCTAATTGCTGTGCGATACATAGTATATGTATAAACTCGATCGCTAATTAACGCGGATCTGCAGCTTATAATTGTCACATTGATCGCAACGAAGCGAAATATTTTTTTAATATTGGATCATTTAAATTAATCAAGCCCATCTCTATTATCGAATATATGTATACTTTAAAATCGATAATAGTTAGCTACATTTCTTTCAATATTATTGCGATACAAAACATGAATTTTTGAAAATGTCAATCTAGACTGTTAGAATGTCAAATTACAAGGATCATTAAATCCGGAATTAATTATGCAACATCCAATCAATTATATGATGCATGGAAGTGATAACTTTTCAAATTTTATCATCCACAACGAGAAAAGATATTAAGAATTTTTCGAAATAAAAACAAAAATGAATTTTCAAAAAGATGATCTATTTTTATTATTCAATCTTATATATTATCTAATAATTAGATAATCGAGTTTTAATATTATTGGGAAAATTAAGAAGCGACATTGTTTTCTAATTTACGTACATATATATAAAAAAAATGCGCGAAGGTTATTGAAAAGAGTGATGAAAAGAGTGATGAAACTCACGTGTGCGATCATGGATGGATAATCTGGATAAAGCAGGAAGGCTCCGATGAGATGAGCGGCCGAGAAGACGATCCCGGCGATGCAGGCGTGCCTGAGTCTGATCGGCAGAAGAGCGTAGGCCATGTAGATGAAGAAGCAGACCGCCAAAGTGGCGGCGAGGGGTCCACCGGCTCGAAGATCCTCCGGCCTGGAGAAGGACGACGGATCATCGGCATTGTCATGGCTTGCCTCGTGCAGGCGTGCCAGATGAATACTCAAGGTCACCTGCAGGGCCAGCAGAGTGACCAGCACTGCACCGCTGACACCCGCAAGCCATATCTCGTTCATGCCCGGTCTGGATATGGCAGCCACCAAAACTAGGAGAGCGAAAACTTCGTTACTGCTTTAGAATTTCAAGATTTCATGCTTAAAGATGATTGCTCAGAGATATTAAAACGTTGCTCGCATGAATTAATGCGAAATAAATGAATGAGATTTGGATTCTTCAGCCAATTTGAGATTGATATTTCTTCAATTAAAATGTCAAGGGAGATTCATTTATCATAGTTTCTACATTTTCAAGTCTCTACATTATGTGACTTAACAAATAAACCTTCATAGATAGTGACTCGATTAAAGTTTTTTGCAATATTGCTCGGTCAAAGTTCATTCTCGGGAAGGAGAGACAAAAGAATGAGCTTTGCGATGCGATAAGCGAGCCCTGTCGTGTTTCCTGATGCTTCCGGGAGAAAATAGCACTTGTTGGCAATATTTTCCTGCATTATTTATGACAGAGTAACATGAAAACATAATGTCGCTCACAGAAGAGACAACGAGAATCATTCCTTTGCGTGTCGGATAAAATGCACGTCTTTTAATGTTTGTGATATTTAACAATGCTGTGTGCATATTTCAGTGCAATTCTAACATTATTTAAACTGTATATGCGAAAGCTCTAAAGTCTTGTGTCAAGATAAATTTCACACACTATACAGCCATGATGTATGGTAAATATTCTGTTTATTTATAAATACTGTGAGCAATTTCGATTTGATATTTCATATATTAAATATATTAAACGATATATCGAAAAATTACGATGACAGTTTAAAAAATTCTCTTACATTAAAGAACATGTACATATGAAGCAAAATGCCAATATAATTATATAAAATAGATTCGTAAATAATTATATATATATATATATATATATATATATATATATATATATATTTCTGAGAAATATATTTTTAAATTTAAAATTCTATCTTAGACTTAAATATTAATAAAATTTTATTTTAATGAGAACTTGAAATAAATCTAAAAGCAAGCTCTAAAATATTTAAAATCAATTGTAAATTCTCTTACCGATGTAAACAGCGATACAAGTCACTAAAGTGACACCAAGGGAGAAATTTTCAGGTCTCTGTAAAAGCGTGAACAGCGGTCTATCAGTCAGCATCAATTTCGCAACAAGTAGTAGGCCCAATGCGAGTGCCAAACCGACTAGTAGAATGAGCACGTGTGTCATATTACTTTGATTCATGCGTAGGAAGTAGCGTTGGTAGAGCATTTCAACCTGAAACATGACCGCATATTTGCAACGTGTTATATTAATCGAAAATTCGCCTGTAAATTGATAGTACTATGTTTTCTGATACACAGATGAAGTGAGTATTTGATATCTCATGAATTTTACAAACACATATAGAGAAAAACATGTACAATATATACAATTTTATAAAATTTTATAAATTTTTATTTATAAAAAAATTGGTAAATTTTAAATATATATTTAAATATATATTTAATACAGTAAATGTCATTAATGTTAAAATCTAAAAAAATCTCTCAACGATATTCTAAAATAAAATCAAAGAAAAATCAACGCGATAGAGCAGGAGCACATATTTTATTATAACTGACAAGTTTTTTAATCACATATGTAAATGAATATTTAAATGTAATTTTAAATTAAAATTGCATTTAATTTTCTTTTTCTCTATCCGAGACCTTCCCTGCCTACGAAGAAAGCGTTGAAATTGTAAAGTCGACAAATACAGTACGTGAGACGACTTGAACAAAATTTATTCCGATTCGCTTTCCTTCGCAATTCGATGCCACCCCTGGCGATCAAATTAGTTCACCCAATATTTGTCATTCAGTCGTGATTGTTTTCGGTTTGCTAGCACAGCAGCGAAGTTACAGAATGCGTTTCATGAATTGCGGGTAAGATCCAAACAACGCTTGATTATCCGGAAATCGCGAAGGGTACGTCCTGAGTGTGATAAAGCAGAGAAAGAGAAAAATGACGAGATTTGCGGGGAATGGGAGAGTGAGAAAAGAAAGAAGATGGTTTTTCACTCTAGGGGGTGGATCTATATTGTTTAATTGTCCTATAGCTTTCGGCACAATACAATTTATATGCGTATGTTATGATGCCCTTGGTTGTATAATCTCTCTTAATAAGGTCCTCATTTTTCAATCCTCATTTTTTATCACGAGAAAATTGGATCGTAGTTTGAGCTAGTTTGTGCAAACGAGAATATACTATGAGTTAAACGAGATACACCGCGATTTATGTTTGCAATTTACGTCACAAATTTCCGCAGGGCACTCTTTCTCTTTTTAAATAGAACACAATAAATTATACATTACATTCACACATGAAAGCATTTTCGAAAGTAGATCATCAAATGATATATTGATTAACAATGTTTCTTTCTTTTTCTCTCTTTTTCTCTTTGCTATCTTTAAATTATATTTTAATTTATAGAAATAGATATCAAATAGTTCGATAATGGAAATTATTATATAACACTTACGTTAAATTTATTTAAAAAAACATGAGCAGAGCAGAAAAGCAGAAAGTTTCTTAGAGTACTTCTTTACTTTGTGCTCTCTAAATATTATAGTAAATAAAATAAATTTACGACGACTTGAAAAACTAAAGAACACAAAAAAGTTAAAGAAAAGTTAAAGAACACATAAAATAGTTCTTCTTTTTTATTTTTATGGCACACCATATTCACAAACGTGTGTATTTTTTTTGAAAGAAATTGTACATACTTGCAATTAGCTCGCAATACATTTTATAATGAGTTTTCATTGTTCTTTAATGTTATATAAATTTTGCATAAAATATATGTTTATACATAACTTTGATGAGAAGAAAAATGTCCATTTAATGAGATTTTATGATATTATGTTTATGTGTGATATTCGTGATATGATCTTCATAAAATATGCATTTTATGATATAATATATATGAATAGAAATGAAGGTAATATTTTCTATAAATAATATATGCATTATGATATAATTATAATGTATATATAGTGTTATATTAGTGTTGCATTATGTCTCAAATTGAATGTAATAAGATAAAAAACGCGATACAAAAAAAAACTATATACATAAAATAATGTCGTGCATATATATTTATAATATATCGATCATTATCATTGATTTTGATGGAAAAAAACATCGATGCGAGATATCTCCGAAGATCGCGGAAAATGGCTTGTAATTTATATCGTTACAACGGTATCCATTTGCAGAGACTTGCTCGCAGATATATTACATTACTGTGGCGTTGAATTTTACACGGCGTATCAACGTGTTATCCAAGCGCAGACTGCTACGATTCGTGTGTAACGCAATCTGGTACCATCCGCAAAGAATCGCAAACCGTTTGCCGAAAATTCAGGACTTAAATTCAAGTTGAACAACATGAGGCAGGAATGAGAAAACCAAAAACGATTAAATTTTATTTTTACGCGTTCTTCTATTCCATATACCTTAGCACATTTTTTATTTATACGTCTGCAATGCAGTGTTTTGTATTTGAGAGATGCATTATAAATCCCTCTCGAGTAATACCTCGATAGCGATAATGCTTCCAGTATTTTTTTTCTTTATATTTTTTTTGATTTGTCTAATGCTACCTCTATGCACACATTGAAAAGACTGGAGGAGAGGATAAATAAAATCTGTTGGCTGGTCTATAAAAAGAACTCGGGAAAGATTCCATCTAGTAAAAATTATTATTCTTCTTATTATCCGTATTACGTCTTTAAATGAGCTTTGGCTGTCTGTCTCTAATATGATCCTGAGGTACTTTCCTACACAGTCTTGTATGCCAAGTATTTGCAGATCTTTTCAGGTATTATCTCGCCAAAAGGTGCATTTTCTAAAGGTTTCTTTTTACCGGTTGTTCACTTCCCACACGAGCTTTAGCATTCTATCGTTCTTGTTATTCCCCTGCATTTGCTTTTATCTCATGAATTAAATCCGGTTCTTAACGCAATTCATATATTTCTTTGGATTTAATGTGTCTCGTCCAATGCATAATTCAAATATCCTTCTCAGAAGATTTTTCTCTTAAATCGTTAGATGATCTTTGTATCCTGCACGGCCATTGTCCATGTCTCATACATCACTGTTGATTTTATTATAGCGTGAAAATTGAATTTGATTAAATCCAATTTGACAGAGAGACGCGGCGCGCGAAAAAAAGAATCGAAAAAGAATGTTGCCGATGGATAACATTTCGTAGTTTGCCCAATCGATAGATTGCAGCTTGATTTTTCTCTCGCTGGTCTCCCCAAAATTGACGAGACTTTATCGCATTCTCTTCGCCTCCCTTTCCCGCCATATGGAATTACTGTCATCGACAATATAGTCGAAATGTTCGGCAGCTATTAGCGAGAATTATCAGTAATCATATACCTATATAAAGGATATCTGTCTGTTCATCATGTCGATCTCGTTTAATATTTTAATCTTTCATCATGGTGTGAAATTCACGAACGTGATCGAGCAACATCGTTAATGCATTTGGGGATTACGCTCACTGCTTTTTAATAGCGTAACATATAATTCGACTAATAATTTTCAATTTTATATGTTAAATATTTTATCGTATATTATATATAAAATACTTTCATTCAATACTTAATGATCTTAAATTTAGCTGTTTTGCCGACAATCCGTGAATACATAATGTTCCATATTTCAGACAATTTTTTTAATCTACGATATTTTTGTATAATAGAATTTGTCTTATTGAAAGCTTAAAGCTTAAAGACATTTTTTTCAAATACGCACACGCGCACAATTATTTTAATACTTAAATAAAACAATATAAAATATTGTTAAAAATTATAATCTCTAGTTGGAATAAAATAAAAATACTTTTTTTTATCTTTCTTTATTTATTGTCATCATATACATATTATGGAAAAAAATAATTTATAATAAATTATTTTAGAATAATATTGTATAAAGGCTTTTCTAAGAATATAATTATGAAAATAAAATTAATATATGTATAAAGGCTTTCCTAAGAATATAATTATGAAAATAAAATTAAAGGAGAGGCAAATAAAAGCCAGCACGGCAAGTGAGTTATAATAAAATGCATATTTTATTATAACTCACGAGTTTTTTAATCATATATGTAAATAAACGTCTCGGTCCTTCTGCGGATTATTCTCAGTGCAAATATAAAAATGTCAATAATGAACATATATAAAATGACTACGAACAAAGTCGAACGAGAATCGCGTACAAATATATTATAAAATAAATTAGCGAAATTAGTGAATTAAATAGAAATATAAAAATGTAAATAAATCAAAATATTGTCAAGTAAAATTTTATCTCTTACGTTTTCCAAAAATGAATGAATGATCACACATGTATGATATGACCGAATCTCAGGCACAATGCGTAATTTTATTGAGAATTTTTCTTCATTTGCATGCATTTGTGCTACATACAGTTACTCTTTGAGAAGAAATATCTTCTCTCCCGCCTGCGGGCTTGTGTTATAGACATTCAGTATTGCAGTGCTCGCAATTGTGAGTGCTCTTCATCATATAATCATTATTTTTGTCATATATATTTTATTTTTTCTTCTATCTTAAAATACAATTTTACATAAACTCTTTTGAACTTTGAATTTATCATGCGCAATTAAAAGTAAATTAAGACTTCATCTATTCGTATTTTTAGAAGTTAATTTCTGCGAAAACTATTTTTTTTTTAAATAACATGGATAATATTAATTCCTACTTATTTGACATTTTATTCATTTTTTATACTTGATAACATGATGTACATGTAGAATTAATATTAATGGATAGATTTAATATTAAGATAATTGGGAGATAATGATATTGTTAGTATATTATAAAAAAAATGTATACTTTTCGCATATATAAAAGGTTCTAGCTTATCGATTACAATCTCAATTGATATTCCGACATTTGTATGAAAGCTCGAGTTTTAATATAAATATGAAAATTTGAATTTAAATTAATTACAATGTTTATGAATGCGAAAATGTGTATATGATTTGTGACTTATTTAAAAGCATTCGATATTCTATCTCTTTCCGAAAACATTGCATATTATTATCGCAGTTTGATGTTCGTTCTAACATGTCAATAAAGAATTCTATCTTCTCGTCTGTCGAGTATATAACAGCACAACGTGACAGAGTTAGAATAACGGAGAGATTTCTTTCGTTCGAATGTGATGGAGGATCAAACCCCATCGAAGATATTGCATCGCCGGCGGGAATATCGCTCGAATGCAATCAAATCGACGCGCGTCGGTCCCGGTTTCCGGTTCCTACGTGACCAGACATTGCGAGTCACTCTTACGAGAATCGCAGAAGAACGTTGTTGTAAGTCGTACCAGTCTTTTTCTTGTTATTCGATCACGTTTTTGTGAATAATCGCGAACCAATTTTCAAATTCACGGGTCTCGTCGCCTTCGAATTCCCATGTGTTTTACGTGGATTTGTAAACGCATACAGATTTTTGAATGAATAATTAATGTGTACGTTTCTGCTCGCCTTAAACGGACCGTATAATTCGCGTTCTGAAATTTTTATTTCTTAATCCGTTATAATTCTGTTTATAATTTTAACTTTTTTTAAACAATTATTATTGTTATTATCAGGATTTAATTAATATTATTAATTCCTACTTATTTGATATTTTATTCGTTTTTTATACTTGATAATATGATATGTGTGTAGAATCTTTTAATATTAATGGAAGATTATGATGTTAGTATATTATAAGAAAAAGTATATTTTTCACATGGTATATAAGAGGTTTAAGTTTATACAGTATATACGCAAGAAAATCGATTACTATTGGAGGAGATTGCAACATGCAACATACTGACGTAATATATTTAACAGAAGATAATAAATAAGGTTTATTTTAACATTTACTTCAACTACTTGCAATAGGGGTAATTAATGGATAAGAATCTCGACTCGATCAACTTTAATAATCTGATTATTGGAACAATCATCGTTAATAATTTGTTTTATAGGAAATTCATGATCAGGATTTTGGAATGATATGGACGAAGAAAATAATTTGTTAAGAAAATTAAAAGAATTTGACAAACTTATTCATATAAAATTAAACAAGATTTTTTTTTACCTAAAAGAGTAACATAAAATTGCTAAATATCTGCATGAAAAATTCATTCGTCTCAATTTCTGTAGTATACCAAACTTTAGAAAACAGCGTAGGAGAAATAGCAGATAAATAGTTGAGTGTTATTTTTGTTAGAAAACGCGTTCTGATGATACTTTGGCATTATGCAATGTTGAAAGCCTTTTGTTGTTTTTGTGTAACAAGAAAACTGTGTGTGGCAACTTTACACATCCCACACTTTTTTCCTTTTCTAGAAGGATCCAAATTCTTTACAAAGTTACGGCAAGTTTTATATAAACTAGTACATTTTAAAAATAAAAACATTATAAAATAAAGGATGTATCTGTTTTAAAATCTTTTATAAAATATCAGTTTCACAGATACACGATTTTATAATAACAGGAAGTTTACAACACAAACAAAGCTTCTTCGCTTTGCAGTTTTTTTACGGTTTTCCAGTTTCCAAGTTACATTACATGATCAATGCAAGGTAAACGCGACTCGGAACATTCTTCGATCCTAATATTCGCGTATTGAGCATTTCCCAAACGGCTCCGCGATATTTCCATATATCGAAACCTTTGTTAGAGCGCGCTCTGCATTTGACGGGTGAGACATTTCGATATGTTTCCGTACAAGCCCTACGGGCGGTGAAGCGCTCGCTAACGCGTTAACCGCCAGTTCGTTGTCACGGTCGGATTTTTCTCGCGTGCACCAGCATCTTCGCCAGGTGTTTGCTGTATATTTTCGAGCAAAACTGACGTATGTACCGCGCACGCATCGGTAGCCACGATGATATATCCGAGACATGTTCGCGAGAATTTATCGCATTAAATTCGCGTTTATACAGAGTGTCACGGATTTCCGCATGGCCGAAACTTGTTGCGCGATTTTTCGAAAATTCTCGGTAAAATTATATTCTCCTTTCTTTTTCTATTTTTCCTGTCTCTTCCCCGACATGTCTGACTGAATTCGCGCATCACTACTACTCCCTATGCAAGGTGCGGCGTACGTCAATCGACGCCGCCAACGCTCTTCGCTTCGATTGCGCGTGCCTCCGCATTACGAACTTAGATTAATCCCTGATAACGTCGTTGATTTGCATGACAAGATGAGAAATGTCACCACCGTAGGTTCGGATACCGTCAAGATGTTATTGGCGGGTTGCTCGTTATTAGTGACAGCTCTTTCGAGGAATCACGTTTAACGAGATGAGATAAGTTGATTGAAAAAAAGAATATACAAGTATATCTTATACAAAATATTTGCGTTTTTGTTGATGAAGATAAAATACTAGATTCATTATTTCTTTACCGTAAAAGTGAGAAGTTTATTATTATTACTTGTGACTGTATTAAAAAGATTGTTATATACAGGTAGAAAAATTATTAATTAATTTCAAAATTATATATAATAATTAAAATAAATATTACATCAGGAATAACATCGAAAGTTAATTGAAAAAAAGAATATACAAGTGTACATCTTATAGGAAATATTTGCGTCTTTGTTGATGAAGATAAAATACTAGGTTTATTTTTTTCGTAAAAGTGAGAAGTTTATTATAATTATTTATGACTGTATTAAAAAGATTGTTACATACAGGTGGAAAAAATTATTAATTAATTTCGAAATTATATGTAATTATTAAAATGAATGATTATATCAGGAATAACATCGAAAAATATATTCCATAATGCATGTTAGAGCCATTAGCCGAATTAACCATCTCACATAATTAATTTCAAAAAATATAGATCGTTATTACGAGTCATATTGAAAAAATGGCGCGATTTTAATTTAGCTAATTACGATACGTTTTTCTCTCAGCGATACGATAGTGACTTTATATGTTTAACTTTCGATTCATTTTACTCCGATACTCCGATATTGAAGTCATTCGCGAAGAAAGTAGATTTATCCGTGCATGATCAGACGCATAATCGGGGGAAACGTCTAATCATTTCAACTTTGACTGGACGAATCTGCGTTAAATTCATTCGATATTTACCGGATGTGCTAACTACAGTGAGTGTAATTACGCGTCCGGTGCTCTCATTAGAAGCGAGATATTCGAGTAATTACTCGGAAGCGCGGGCAAAAGGAAAAGTAGTTTAAAGGAGAGAGAGGCGAATGCACGCGCCGTCGAAAGAGTCTCTGCTTCTTCTACCTGCAAGTTCTTGAAGCGATGAGAGCCGCATAACGAGCTCAGGAACCTGCTCAGGGCGCATTTCGGCGTGCGCTGCGTGATCCCCGCGTTCGCCGCAGCTTCCGCCATGGTCTCCCTTCCGGTCGTCGGCGCCATGCCCACTTCCGATCCTCTGGCAACCTGGGAACAGGCCGACTCTCGTGTATTCAGGTACAGAGAATTTCAGAAATAATGAGAAATATAATGTCAAGTTTTTATTCCACGTGAAAATCATTTTCGAACCGATTACAAATAAGGATTTTCGTCTCGAAAAACTAGATTTTGGAGGCGAAAATAAATAATTAAACATAGCCGTTTAACGCAAAATGGATTCCATAAACGGTAATTTCAATTTCCTTTGATTACGATATTGAACGTAAGCATTCGCGAAATGCGATCAAATGAATTTGATCGCGAGCACAACGTTGTGTGTCCGCATTTCTACTGATTTCAGGATATCCTGTAGTGTTCCTGCGTAGCGATTCAGTGCGCAAACAGCACGGTGAATAGACGATGCATTAATGTGATTTAACGAAAGGCATACACGGCTAGCCGGTATGTTTGTTAGTGTTTGTCTATAATACGATAATCGTTACCTAGCTCAATGCGATTATTTGTGCATACGATAACCGCTTGCGTGTGTACACTTTCCGTAACGATTATTCCTCTCTATCAAGGGAAATCCACTGAACGCGCGCAAAATATGGTGTACGAAATACATTATTATTGAGAGCAAATTATTGCGATTTGCTTGTTCGCTTTGTTACCCGCTTCTCTCAATATTTTTTTTTTCTATTAAATTTCGTCACATATTTACGCAATTCTTTCTACCGTTAAAAATCGCGGACAGATATTTATATTAATCGAATATTAAAACGATATTAATATCGATGAAGCTAATAAAGTTAACAAATTTATGAATTTCGGTGCGCGATAAATATATGAATAAAAAGAGTTACAACGAAACGAAAATAAAATGCATGAAATAAAGCACCCGAATCGAAGTTTGTATCGATTATATCGAGGAAACATTGATTCGTTATGTATTGGCAAGGTTCAATATCGGGACATCGCGTGCAATGTGATGCACGATGTCTCGACGCCTCCCTCTTGAAAATCGAGCAGACGCATCAAAGGGGAAAAGGATCTGACAAAGTGGTTTCGTCTTTCCGCACCGTTTCTCGTTTCCTCGTTTTGTTCAACGATTTGTACCTTTCCCGATGGAGACTCGGCCACGATAATGGAGAAACGTGATGCGCGTGCAGCGAAAATATCGAGCGGTCGTACCATTCGTACAGTCACGTGCACGCCGTTATTAATGAAGAACTTTCCTTCCGGAGATAGTCGAAATTTTACCTTTCAGTAAATTTTAATAACTTTCGCCCCATAACGTCGATAGATTCGACATCTGCGGATAATAATAATATATCGAGCGATTTTTTGAGAAATTGATCAGAATTTATAGTAATTCTATTCAATTCCGAAATTCGATATCTATCTATTAACGTTACAAAAGACTCTACAAATTACGCAAATATCACGTTTAAAAAGTTTGTTAAAATTAACGAGATAAATTTGCTCTCCTCTTCGAGAGAAAATAAAAAATTAATTAAAATCAATATTCAATTTTCTCGAGGGTTTAAATATCTAATTCTGCGGATAGAGGTTGATATAAAAAATTTAATGAATAATTAATAACATAAACATGTTTGTATTAATTGCTAATAATATCAGTAATATGGTGGACATCAAAATTATTCCATCTAAAGTTGTTCACTCAATTATAAATATTCCTTTGATGATTGCTCAACCAATTTAAAAAATTAATTAGCACAATCAGACACTCGCCGTTAAATTATAATTGTATAACACAAAGGATACACGAAGTTATAATATAATTCAATATAATTTCGTTTTGAACATTTATTTTTTTACACTTGGAGCAATCTTTTCTTACTTCATCCATTTTTTTATAAGCTCGAGTTGTGTAATTTTCATTATAACATAGTATAATTTAACATAGTATACAATCTTTGTTAATCAGCAATTTATAATTTTTGATGGACATTTTCGATATGTTTATTCCTATAACGTGTCAACGCACTCGATGAAAAGTTGGACAACTCACTGTGATGATAGAAGGTCGTGGCGCGCCGGTAAAGTGCTCGATGACCTCCCAATTAGACTTCTTGATTGGTGGGGTATGCGGTGTTTTTGGTGTATTAGGCGTGTGCGGTTGCGAGGATGGCGTGGAGGGTTTGGAACCCGGCGTATCGAACAGTAGCTCGACGCGGGGTTTACCACCGTCATTGCCGCTGCTCACGTGTTGCCTGAGGCTGGCCCATCTCCTCGTGGTCCTGGCGGCACCGGCTATCGTTCTAGGACCGATCTCGCCCTGTCGGGAATAAAGCGAAATGATTTATGCCCTGATAAAATGTGCGTCACTCACGGTTATCTTTTTAAATAAAAACACTGATAAACGTTAGAGGGATTTTGGAGTTATTTGATTTTTTATGACAACGCATGAATTTTATATAAATTCCAGGATGATAAATCATTTTTTAATTTTATGTGATATATGCGTATCTAAAATATATTATATTATATATTTTTTTATATATTAAAAAATATTATATTATAATATATATAAAAAATATATATATATATATATATATATAATATAAAATATATATTAAAAAATATATTATATTATAATATATATAAAATATATTATATTATATATATTTTTATATTTTTATTAAATTTGCGGATCGAAATATCAATTCATGTCCGAAGATTTATGACAAGCAACCAGTAATTATTAATTAATCATCATATATCTAAAAAATCTCGGCATATATTTGATACAATATATTATAAACGTTGAAAAAAATTCGAAAAAGAGAGAATATTCTTAGTGAAAATTTCTCACGAATCTTTCTATGCGATATAGAACGAGGATTGGGTCGTATTAAATTTCTATTTTCTATAAAAAGAAAAATTCGAATCTATTCTACATTTTTGCTTCTTCTCTTTTTCTCTTTCTATTTTTTTCGCTTTAATGTTGCGCTTGTTTGAAGAGTGCAATACGATGTAAAGAGAATTAGCCGATAAGGGTGCAATACATTGTTATGTGGCACAAATAAAAAGCAAAACATTCGATTCGAATATTAGAATGCAGATTATTAAGAGAATCGTTAAAAGAAGAAAATATATACATATTTCTTTTTTTTATTTCATCTTCTCTAAACTTTGAATTCTTATTGACAGGTAAAATATTAATTTTTTGAAATTAATCTGTGAAGTACATTCATAATTATTTATCCTAAATTAAATCGCAAATATAAAATAAGATGAAATAAACAATTTGCTAAATATAGTATATATATAATGACAATTTTTAATTAATACCATCCTTAATTATTTTCGTGCCCTCTTAAATTTAGCGGAAAGGTTCCGAAGGTCCTTTCAATTTAGAGCTCAAGGTACGCAGATGCTAATTAAAATGACAATGAGTAAACAGCCACGTTTTGCGCGTCAGTGCATTGAAATCAGCTTCGAATAATTAAGCGCGAATCCGCTCTCTGCGAATCGTGGAATAAGACAAAGCCGGCACAAATATTATTTATGCAAGCTTGCTCTGTACGTGGCATGTGAGGATTCTCGTTGTTCCGGTTATATGCATAGATATATGCACCGCTGCGGAAAATGCGGCTTCGAAGACGGCAGAATCCCGGGAAAAAAGATAGAAAAAAAAAAGAGAAAAAGGCGGAAAACCAGGACGATGCGGCATGTTTATGGGCCATGATTTCAATCTCCGCGCGTCCGAGAAGGGTCGATGTTACTCATCGATCCTGAAGAAAACGAAGCTCCGTTACGCGAAAGCTATCATACCTGCTACTTTCCGCATCAATGATTCGCGTCGCGTTTACCACAACCGATGGGTCTTGACCGCATATGTGGATGATGACTATGTTGAAATTCCTGACAGCCGACATGCCTTGCGCTCATTCCATCGGTAAAATGTACGAAATGTTTTCTAATACTTTGTATCTTCGCTCCAATAAAGAATTCTTCTCGGTGAATTTCGATTTTTTTCTCAAACGAGATTTCGAAAAAAAGTTCGTTGTGACTATCTAAGATTAACGAGAATGTATTTATACTGCGAATTATATAAAAGCTAATATAATATGATCTATCGAAAAATAAAATTTTTTTTTATAAAAAATAATGCACAAAAAATACACATAATTTATTGATACAAATTTACTCTGTTCGATCTGCTCCAAGTTAATGGTTAAAAATATTTTCATATGTAACTTCAAATATGTATATGAAAAGATAGTCAAAAGAGAACGTGCTCAAGAAAGAAAGAGGGAGATTTGGAGGAACTTTTGACACACAAGTGCGACTTATGCATGACGTTATACATCGTAGAACAAAAACGTGGCTTCACATTTTCCTTCACTGTATTCTGCAATTCCTACGCAAAGTTGCGAAAATTTACGTAACGGGTGTTGATTTTCTTTTGACGTTGCTCGAGCCATTTTGCCTTTGCTTTGAACAGAACCAAGTAGATATTTTCGGTGCCTGCGGCGATATAAATAATAGTGTCTCTGGTGACATGACACACAGTCTTCTTCTGATCCGATGTTAAAAGTATCTTTTTCCCAATAAAGCTGAAATAATTTTCATACAATATATATATAATATAAAATATATGTATATATAAAAAATACGTCGGAATAATATACTATTATATTTTGAATTTTACTTATTGTTCGTAAAAACATACAAACAATACTTGATAAATAGTAGTGAACGTAATAAATATTAAAATTTGAATAAACGTTGTTATAAAAGTTTTCATTTTGCAAGCATAAATATTTATAAAGTTTATTTATACATACATTTATATTTAAATATTATATTGTATATATGTCTATTGTTGCGCGTATTAAATTGCCGCCAAGCTTGCCGCAAATGAAATTTTTTTTTGTCAGGTGGTACGCGTCGCGCGTACTCATTGTCAACAAACGATAGTCGGCGCTGTGTTATTTTCTCCTTCCAAGTCGTCTCGCGTCGCGTATATGTGTTATATGTTATATGTGTCGAAAGGACGATACGAAACAGTCGATGTCAATGTGCGAGATCACAAGTATTCGTGCTACATCTCGAATAATTTGTGCGCAAGTACGTGAAAGTGAATCGTGCAAAATGACAGCTGATCGGATGTTCACGTGCGAGATCGTATTCTCTTCGTATTCTCTCAATTGACAAACGAATTGTGCGAAGATAATCGAAAGACAATGTGAATAAATAATATAAATATAAGACAATAAATATTTATAAAGTTAATTTATACATACATTTATATTTAAATATTATATTGTATATATGTCTATTATTGTGTGTATTAAATTGCCGCCGTGAAACGTGCCGCAAATGAATTTTTTTTGTCGGTTGGTACGCGTTACACGTCAACGTTCAATGTCAACAAATAATAGTCGGGTTATTTTCTCCTTCCAAGTCGTCTCGCGTCGCGATTACGTGTCGAAAGGACGATACGAAATACAGTCGATCAGTGTCAATGTGCGAGATCACAAGTATTCGTGCTACATCTCGATTAATTTGTGTGTGAGTGCGCGAAAGTAAATCGTGCGATGCTTAATTACAGCTGATCGGGTGTTGTGAAGGGAATTGTGTGAAGATTATCGGAAGACAATATGGAGCCGAATTGTGCAAAAACAACGAAGTAATAAAGGAGGAGCAATAGCGGCGACGGAGCAGCGCAGATTCTTCGATATAAGTGAGTCAGATGATTTATTATTCCTTCCGAAATTGCGACTGATCAAATAATATAAGACAGGATTTGTCCGATTAAACAGGTATTAAAAATATTAACGAGATTAATGATCGATGAGTCTGAATGGGCAAATATTGCTCGTATTTTATCCTCCGGTAATTTCCTCCGATAATTATTGACAAATATGTTAATAACCGTACCAGTGAATGACGCAATAATCCAACGTAACCTCAACATCAATGTCAATGCGTGATTGACATTAATCTCAAATGCGCTGAATTTAATATGACAATTTAAATTAGGTTTTCCATATTTCTCGGACTCTTTCCGGATTACGCATTAATCTCTCTCGTAATGTTTCTTTTATTCATGTATTTTATTTTAGACTTTTGTTTGAAGAGTTTTTTTTTTAAATATTTGGTGTCTATTTTTGCTATAACGTCAAAAATACATCTCTATCTTTTGATAAAGTTAATTCAAATCAATACAACTTTTTCTTCTTTGCAAAAATAACTTTTAATTGCAAAAACGCAATATGTCAGTTTTACAAGTCCAAATTAAATGCAATACATAAACTTTTGTTGGTTAGTGACATAATAAAAAAATAATTTTAAAAAAACGTGGAAAGTAATATAAATTAATATATAATTATATATAAATACTAATGTTAGATAACATAAATATAAATAGTACATTAATAATATACAATTCATTTATTTCAAATTAAATAAATATGATATAAATTAATATATAATATGAATAATAATACGTAATAAATTAATAAATGTAATATAATGTATTTTTGATACGTAGTTCTCGCTATTCGCGAAATTAAAGTGCGGTTTTGAAGTAAATAAATCTGATGTTCTCTCTCTTTCCAAACTGAAACGTGACATGCAGGATTTAACTCTTCATATACACATGTATGTATACGTGATTATTATACGACATGTATGTATGCATGATTATTATATACGTGTCGCAAAAATTCTATACAGCGTGTTTTCGTTCTTATTTCATTGTTAGATATTTTTTATATAATTTTTGCGTTTTCGTCTTTCGCAATTTCGCGTCCCCGATTTCTTCGTGTATCATCTCGATGTTTGCCATCCAGTTTTCAGCTTGACAAAATTTTCAACGGCGGAGCTGTCACCGCTTCGTTGCGGGTTTATTCAGTTTTCGCGATAACGATATTATATATACAAGGTGTCAGGGCAATCTCTTCCCAAAAAGAAAGCTCTTGTACCTCGAGAGATTTTTAAAACACCAAAATAAAGTATTTTTTCATTGAGTACTTTTCGAGTTATAACTTGAAATAATTTGTTAATTTTATATAAACAATAAAATCTAGTAAAATAGAGATTGGTCATCGAGGTAATTTCTGTACAAGGGTTAGATAATTTAGCGGTAATCGAAAGGAAATTTTGGGTAATCTAAGGTAATTTTTGGTAACTCTAAATAATCTTTAGCATTCTCAGATAATCTTGAGTAATCTAATAGGAAATCTAAGTAATCTAAGTAAGGATAATATCAAATAATCTGCAGATAATTCTAGGTATTCTTAAGGTAGTCTCAAATAATCTGAGGTAATCTAAGATAATCTTTTTGAAGTTAGTGAACGTCATTCACGAACTTGTATTTTTTTACAATAATAAATTTGCAATCGTTTTCTAGAATCGATGCTTCGTAAAAACGTGCTTTTTTGCAGTCTACGAATTGTCGTGGTTAGGTTTTCGCGATATCGTAATGCTTTATCTCTCGCCATAAATTGTGGATAAGAATGCATTTCACAACTTTTAGTAAGCCATCGTCATTTAATGGTAAAACAAAACCTATGTTACAATTTTCATGTATTGAATATTCTACCGGTAATTCCAGTCGCATTTTCACTCAGCCAAACTACTTTAGGCAAATTTCTTTGCGTTAAGAAGTCGCTTAATTCCTTAAGACGAAATTCCCTTTCCCGAAGTAAACAATAGTTTGAATTTATTACTCTGCTGATAATGGCTACAGATGAAATAATGCTATTTAAATTGACATGTAAAGTCGTTTCGTAAGTCAGGCGTCTACTTATTATTCAAAACAAAATTCAAAAAAGCTAAAAATAACTAAAAATACAATAAATAAAAATTGCGAAATACATCCTTACCAATGAAAAGATACATGCAAAATCTCTTAAAAGATTCTTCATTTGAGGTAATATTAGGTAATCTTAAGTAATCTGGGTAATCCGAGGTAATTTAAAGGTAATCCGTATCAAGGGTAATTTTTGTACACTATAATTCACTAGTGACTAACCCCTCGGTAAAATAGTATCTAGTAAAATATTCATTTTTCGATTATCTTATCTTAATACTTTTATATAGAAAATAATGAGAGGAATCAATTGGTGTAAAGAAAACACATAATTGTTTCGAAGAAAAAATATGTAATTTGCAATTACATATTTTTTTTAAAACAATTACGTGTTTTCTTTACACCAATTTATTTTCTATATAAAAGTATTAAGGTAAGATAATCGAAAAATGAATATATTTTATTAGATATTTTATGGTTTATGTAAAAATTAAGAAATTATTTCAAGCCTCATAACTCGAAAAATACTGGATGAAATATACTTTATTATGTTTTGAAAAGCTCTCGAGATAAGCTTTCTTTTTGGGAAGAGATTGCCTTGACACCTTGTATATATTATATATATATACGTCGCGTAATGCGTTTCTTAACCTTGCGCTAGTGCAACGTTTCGTATGCGGATCAGATGGATATTTTTTTTTTGCTCTGAATATGACGGAAAATAACGGTTTCGCATCTAAGCGCCTCGAGAGGAAATATTTTCTCATCAGGAGAAAATCCGGATTTTTTCACGCCATATATCTCTGTAATGTATTCTTAATTTTAGCGAAAAAAAATATTACGCGGAGAGTATGATTTATTTTGCACGGTAAAAAATTCATAAGAAATGTAAATATTTAAATGATATTGTTATTATTATTCGTATTTATTTCTCGTAGACGGCCGGGGAAGAAATTAGTGAAATATTTGTGATCTTTTCTTAAGAGAGCTCTAACGAATGAAAGGTATTTCAATAAAATACAGGACCGGAACGTTTTCTCCTATTGTAACCTGCTCGGTATTTCGTACTGTATGCTTTTTAATATCGTGCGTTGCAAAAATTGCTCTATTATGACCAACTCTATTATTTCCTAGAAGAAATGTAAAGAGAGAGAGAAGTCTCGACTTGTACGACCTGGTATTATTTTACTTTCATGTCGGCGCGTTCTCTGATATGTTTCACTTAAGTGGTGATCGCACTACGCGAAGTATCATTCCGATATGTAATTAAATAATGACATTTTGAAATATGAACATGAAATTCACGCACTCATTCGATTGATAACATTCAGTTATGTTATTTTGCTACGCGAATTTTCGTTTAAACATTCATGTAATTATATTAATAATTAAATTTTGCAAACTCATGGATTTTTCGTAAAGTTTGAAATTTTAATTAAATACCATAGTAAAATTTTAGATTTATTCTTATAAAAGAGGGAATTTTTCGCGACGTTTTGTATACATTATCCTTCCAATTTAAGCTTTCGGGAATGAAATAAGTGCGCCAATTGCATGTCGTGTTTAAGTGGAAGAGTGAAATAACGTTGTACATCTGTTGTCCTATTACTCATGAAATATTTCTCGTACTTGTAATCGTGTCAAACGCACATTTTTTTTCTTTTTGTTCTGCGCTCTGTTGCTTAAGCGAAAATGCTAGCGCAATTCCCTTTGCATCAACACAGTTGATTGTTCTGAATCGTACTACGTTCATTTAGTATTTTTCCATCGATAAACTTTAATTATCGAGTATATTGAGTAGAGTATAATTAATTTCGTTTATCGTATAAAAAAGAGATTGCATTCGGTTGATCGAACATAACATATTAATATTGTATTCGGCAATTAATTATCTGTACGAGACAAGTTATCAATGTATAACAATTTAATAATATAAAAACATATAATATATCAGTGAATCGAATAATAAATGAAGAGAGACTTTCACATCTTAATAAAAATACGAGATTTTCCCTTTAATACTCATTTAAATCTGAATAAAAATGCAAGATTTTTCCTTTAAAGTCCGTTCACGCGTCAGTTAATTATCTGAAAATATTCGCATTTGTTTATTTTTATCTCACGCTTCTCCGCGATTCGATCAGTTCCTTATTGGAGTTATTTTCTTTGCGAATATTTTATAATCGTTTATTAGAAAATAAGTGTAGCTTGCAGCCTCGATCGTTGCACATGCACAGCGTCCGCGAAAATTATTTTTCTTAAGTTATTCAACTTTTCTGCGAACGTTTGTTCGTGCTGATTAGGCAGGAAAACTTGCACGCGCGTCCCGCAAAGACGGGGCTCGTTACAAATGCTATATTTCATCGCGTATTTCACCGAGCGAGGCGCTCTCGTGTTTCTCGACACGTTCGATTCGAGACACCTTTTTTATTTACTCTAACGAGGTACGTGCGCTTTTCCATGTTGGTCGCCAAGACGAACGATGTTTGTAACGATCGAGTATCGGGAAAATATTCGAAAAAGCATGTATACGTCGCAATAAACGTCGCTGGAAACGCAGATAACGATGCGAAATCTACTTTGATATTTCTACGAAAATATTTTACGTGATAATTATATTTTTATTACGGTATATTAATATTTGTGTTACGAAGTTGTAAGAGCAAGTAGTGTCTTGTTTTTAAGAAGCTCTACTTTAAAATACTTTAATTATCACATTTTCTAATTAAATTAAAATAGCGCTAGCTTTATTAATTTCTATTTTGAATGGCTTCGTTCGCGTTATTATTCTGCATTGCACTTTAAATACAATAGACGAAAATATCCGTTCCATGGAATATCGCCGGCAGCATGCATAATTAGGGAGATGGAATATATTTATCTATCGCGAGGCAAAACCACTTTTTCGAAATAAATGTTAAAAGTGTAACATTTATTTAAATTTTCATAAAAACATGTTTGCGTGAAATATATCGGTTAATAAAAAGATATTTCTAGAAAAGTATTCGCGCGAGATGTTAGGTCAGATAAATTGTAATATACTCGAAAAGCACTTTTATACTCTATGGCACTTTTCAAGCAAGTAAATAAAGTAAATCGATTTTACATTACATTACAAGTTAAATGAAGGGTGGGTAAAGGACACGCGAGTTAGAAGTACACGTTTCGCGTCGATAAATGACTCATACGTGATTAGACGACGAATGTAACGAATGAGAAATATATTACTGGCCAAACGTTAAAATTTACCGAGGGCCCATTTATGCAGAAATATGTGTTAACGAGATGCCGTAAAAAAATGTGAAAGATATGGAAAAATATTACGGCTACTGCAGTATCATTCATTATCGCTCTATGACAATGTGGCGATAAAGGGACAAGATATGAAAATTAATTGTTCGCAGTTTCCACTGCGCGATAATCGTGCACGGTAGAAAATACAGTACAATATTAACGTGTCTGACGGCATGCTTTTAATTATACGTTACATACATTATATAACGTTACAGAGCACAATTAAAATCTAAGAATATATTTATTTTATCTTATTTTAATATTTCTTCTCTATAATTTCAGTCAGATTAGTTATCACTCAAATATAACTTTTTATTAGTGGATAAAAATTGGCTTATCAACTATCGTCTTTAATTTTTTTTATATATTTTTAATCGTATTTAATTTTTTGAGAAAAATATGTTTCATTTAGTATATTTATTTTATTAATATTGCTTTTTTGTAGTACTTTAAATTTTAATTGTGCGAAGTATTTTCCACTGAAATGGATATTAGTAGCTTAATTACGTTATGTAATGTACGATAATTAGGATTTTTCCAGTATTTCTCTGTACTGATAAATGGAATCGTACGGCGTGAGACGCATTTAAGGCGAGCTTTTGCTCGAACGAACATATGTCTCGTAATATATTTCGCTACGAATATACATTGTACAACGAGTTAGTTGCGGTAAATTATGTGCGCAACATCAGAATAAAATGCGTGTACCGGACTCTGCTTCCTCAGCTAGAAATTATTATGCCAGAGAAGGAGTATTACAACATTACGTGCATTCCTTGGCCGGCAAATACCTGAGTGAACGAGCATATTAAATTGCGATATAAAATAATGTATTAAACGAGAGAGAACGTTAAAACGCGATAATGTCGTTTCATTACGAGAGAACGTTGTACGATTATCGCGAGAGTGATTCGCGCGTTCGCAAGTGCCCCATTAATGTCATTTAAACGTGCTGCTTAATGTTGGTCGCGTCGAGTTAATAGCATTGCGTTTACCAGCCTCCATTTTTAAAGAGCATATCTCTCTGATTACAAGATTATGACATTATTGTCATCTTTCTATTCATCGTTTAAAATCTCGTCGTTATTTAGATGTTTAATGTCATTTAGATTCTTTATTATTTCAGGTGTTTTATTAAACGTATTAAAAACCTGTAATTTGTCAAATATAGTGCATTACTTGAATGAAATAAATCGCTAGAGTAGATTTAAATATCATCTATTGATTAACTTACTTGAATGTGAATATATAAATCTTAATTAAATAGTCTAATAATGACGAGATTTAGATGTTCAATATCATTATTTAAATTTTTTATTATTTCAGGTGTTTTATTAAACGTATTAAAAACCTGTAATTTGTCTAATATAGTGCATTTACTTGAATGCAATAAATCGCTAGAGTAGATTTAAATATCATCCATTGATTAACTTACTTGAATGTGAATATAAATCTTAAACAGATGTCTAATAATGACGAGATTTAGATATTCAATGTCATTATTTAGGTTCTTTATTATGTCACGTGTTTTATTAAACATCTTAAAAACCTGTAATTTGTCTAATATAGTGCATTACTTGAATGAAATAAATCGCTAGAGTAGATTTAAATATCATCCATTGATTAACTTACTCGAATGTGAATATATAAATCTTAATTAAATAGTCTAATAATGACGAGATTTAGATGTTCAATATCATTATTTAAATTCTTTATTATTTCAGGTGTTTTATTAAACGTATTAAAAACCTGTAATTTGTCTAATATAGTGCATTTACTTGAATGCAATAAATCGCTAGAGTAGATTTAAATATCATCCATTGATTAACTTACTCGAAAATGAATATATAAATCTCAATTAAACAGATGTCTAATGTATACTATATCCAATCAAGTAAGTTATGTCTTGCGAATTCAACTGGTTATGTCTGATAATACAAATTACTATGTCTTCACGTGGATTTGCGTATGACGTTCTTTAATGTGCATCAGTGCGCACTACTTCATCTGACTGAATTCGCAATAAGCAGCAATCTATTCTGTCGAGCTCCACGTTTCCATCTGTCAAATCGCGAATAAGAGCACCGGATTATATAATAACTGATTTTATTTTTTTGTCTTATTATATCGAAATTTCGCAGTATTGTTTACACGAATAAAAATTATGTTAAATGTGCGAGGATTTTCTGAAATGTCGGAATCCTAACGAGACATCGAATTAATGATGGGATTGTTAAGCATTCCTTTGTGTGATGCATAAACACGACGATAAAACGCGCTAATGGACATTCATTGTCTGTTCATGAAGCTAAATAAAATTCTAAACACTCGGAATTTAGTACCGTAAATGCCTTTATCCTTCGTCGACGTGTTCTTAACATATGTGTGTTTCGCGAGGGACTGATAACATACCACCTGGCACTTCGTTATACCGCCGAATATATCTCTGTAATTCGTAATGAGAGTGTTATATCAACTCGTTTATCTCCGAGTTTTCCTCCAGTTCAGTTGCTTTATATCACTGGTGTGGAGAAAAATTTTTTTACTTTTCCAAAATAATCCGCAACATATATACATAATGATGAAAAATATTTTTACAGTGTGCATATACGATAGCACGTGATCTCCAGCTCTGATAATATTTCTTTAATCTGGATTCACATATCTTTTTTGCCGTATAAATTAACAGAATATTGGATTTTGTAAATTTATTTCCACACAGAAGTCATTATATTGTCATACCGTTGCATACCTCATTTTAATATCGAGTGTATATTATAGTATGTCATAGCATATAAAATAATTTTATGCTTTCGAATACACGATATTAATATCGATATTAATATTGATGAAAGTAATGACAATATAAATTTTATTACGAATGTGCACATGTGCAACGATTGAATTACGTTTATGTCAATCTGTAATTATCGAGAGATATATAACATAAAGCAATTACACGTCCGTTCCGGAAATAATACAAACGCATACGTTCGATCACGTTTGAAACGTTTTCATAACGTGATATCTCGTGACAACACGTGAAAAGTATGCTTTAACGTATGATACGGCGGATGATTACACGAATGTTCAGAACGAAAAACCTGCTTATGAATAATGTATACTAGGGCATGCATCCCTCGCGTGTGTAACTTGCACACAATAAGTTTCTTTATTTTGTTTCTTTTTATCTGCAATCGTGAACGTAAAACGGAAGCGCGGCACGCAATTAGGAATGATAATTATAATGGATAATACAAAGCTAGAATATTAATTTTAATTCTCAAGCGTATATTTTATATATTTATACTTTTATGATTGAACTGACGGATGTCAGAGCAATATCTGCCCAAAAAAAACTCTTACAGCTTAACACGAGAGCTTTTCAAAACACTATAATAAAGTATTTTTTCATTAAACACTTTTCGAGTTATGAGGCTTGAAATAATCTTAATTTTACATAAACCATAAAATATTACATAAACCATATTTTACATAAACCATAAAATATCCAGTAAAATATTCATTTTCCGATCTTACCTTAATACTTTTTTATAATATATATTTATATATTTTTATGTACAAAATAATGACAGGAATCAATTAGTATAAAGAAAACACATAATTGTTTTTAAGAAAAAATATGTAATTTGCAATTAACAATATTTAATTATAATTAATTTAATTATAATTAAAATTAAGAAATTATTTCAACCCTCATAACTCGAAAAGTGATCAATGAAAACATACTTTATTATAGTGTTTTGAAAAGCTCTCGAGGTAAGCTGTAAGAGCTTTTTTTGGAAGAAATTGCCCTGACACCCTGCATATAAAAAATCTCGTTTATAAATATATATTTTACAATGATATTTAATTTTAACGTAGCCAAAATTTCGCAACAAGTATTCGATATTACAGTACACTTTGCGCACAAATCCCGATTATGTTCGGTGTTCTAAATAATACAATTCTCGACGGAATAGTTACCTCGTGAGCTCTTCGGCTACCACGAAGACTAAGCCTGTGACTCCATTCTCGTTTTGGGAAATCCATGCCGTATTTTCTCCGTGTCACCGTGTCTTCTCTGCCTCCAGACGTTGGAAAGCCCTCCGGGGCAATAATGGACCCGTGTCCGTTACTTCATGTTTCTCCTGCACAAAAAGAAAATTTGCTACAGTAAGATTCTTCCTTTATCTTCTCTATCTTTCTTCCTTTCTGTCTCTCGACATGTTTTTCGCGGGTCGCTTCAACTAATTACGATGAGTGCTTCGATCATGTCTTGAATTAATACTCGATGCGAAACTTAACGTAGTTCAAGGTAACGTCATTAATGTATAATGATTCGTGTACTATCGCAAAAGAGCTTTTAGATACCGTGTCTTCTTAAGCTTTAAGTAGCGTACAAAGTTACCGCGGTGTAATATATTCGCATATATACACTTCACATTTTCTTTGTAAATATTATAGTTTGCAATAAATTTGGTGAAAAAATTATGAAGGCATATCTGAGAGATACAATATATTTTCAAGCATGATTGCAATAATACGAGTAATATGTGCGAGATGCTGTTGAATATTTCCATTAAATCTTTAGTGTTTGTAGAATAACATTACATTTTATTATGAACGAATCCTCTCTTTGCGAATTTATTCAATATAATGTTCGTTTTCAATTTTTATTTCTTTTAAAACCGCAATATTTAAAGAGTCTCTTAAATATTTATCTGCATAATTAAATCTTTTTATATTTTTAGTTAAAATAGATTGTTAAATACTTGAAAAAAGATAATAATTCGGTGCATTTAGAATAATTGTTAAATCAAATCTGGAAATATTTAATTCAAGCGGCCATATTTCGCGAAGCTAATCTAATTTTCCTCGGACAATATAATTGTCATGTATAATCTTACAAGAACTATTTAATTTTCTGCGGACAACATAATTGTTAGATGAAAAAAAGACTGACTTCTGGGACTATGTGTCGTTTCTCGCACCACTTGGGACGACTTTACTCGCATCGCGTCCTGGCGAGAAATTTTATTCGTTGTGAACTAGAGTTCACAGTGCTCATATCGCGTGTCTAGACAAATAATTTTCAGGCTTCTCTACTGCCTACGTTCGCGATTAAGGAAGAAATCCAAGCTGTGCACAAAAGAGAGAAATAATTTTGCCCGAGATTATAATTCTTTGATATTACTTTCGAAATATCACGCGACGTTTGATATATACAGGTCTAGAAATGCAATTATTATAGTTCACCTGAATTTTTTACCTCACCTTCCTCCCCTTAGAAGATATTTTCTGAAATTATTTTTGAAGTATCATATAAATTGTTTTTTTTTTTTTTTTTTTTATCAAAATAATAGCGCCTTTTATATATAATTTTTTTCTCAAAGCTACGATAAATCCGTGATAAATAAATCGACAAGAAGTAATCGGTCATAAAGGATATCTAAAAATCGTGAACAGACAATAAAAAATTTCAGCTTTTACGATCGTGTATTTGTCTATAAAAATTTTTTTACGTGACAATATAACAGAATCACTACGTGTGTCACGTAAATAACGCGCACGATAATATTTATATTTTTATGTTATTTCTAACAGCGAATTATTTGCGCAGTGGCAGCTATCGGTACGTGTTAATTTCCGCAACTTGAAATGCATAACATTGAACTTTCGACAATGCATTAACCGCAACAAATATAATTATTTCAATTGTCGTTGTGCAACGTACCGGGAACTTCGAGGGAACATTAATTATGGGATGCGCATGATATTGTTCGTCGTAGCAAAGCAATTATTAATACTGGCGATAGCCGTGTGTATTATATTATAGCGAGCTTGGCGAAGTGTAAGAACCACTTGAGATCGATAGGCGAAAGTAATTTGCCACACGGCTCTCAAAGTTGCAAGCACATTCTATCTCTCTCTCTCTCTCTCTCTCTCTCTCTCCCTTTTCGTATTGGATATAATTTATCCCGATTATTCCATTATTCATTTGCCATCCCATTCTTCAAACGCCTTTTTTAGAAATTTTTTTGGAGAAATTAAAACGCAGATTGTCACGTCGAAATTTATTTACAGCACAATTTGCACATTTAATGGACGTGTTTTTTTAGTAATAATAAACGCTTTACAAAATAGATGACACGTACGTGTAATTTCGTATATTATCTTTGTTCAAAATTTTGTTTTTTTGCTGTCAATTTTTTTTTAAATAATCTCAATTTTATTTTCCTAATATTACGTTACATTGAATTAAAATTAAAAATCGGGCAATTTCTTTTTGTAACAAAAGAAGATGTCGAATTTTTTATCGCAACAATGCCTTTTAATTATGTTTATTCGATGCGAATTGTCGATTCCGAAGGAAGTTAATGGACGTTTGTCAGTTTATCCGAAGGGAAAAGGGCCGCGAGAGTTCAGTGTTAAATTCCATTAAAGTTTTCATTACTTCAGAACTTACGATGAGGATGAAAAGTACATCTTACCGTGGGAATAATAGTAAATACGCATTATAAAGTATTTAATGACTCGATATACTCGTTCCCGCTTTATTTCACTGAAAACGATATTTGATCGAAAGTGTCAAAGGCAATTGAAAAAAATGTTGCAGAAAAAGTGGCATTCAATTAAAAAGTAATTAAAAGGCTACATGCAATTCCATCGGGCCGATAATCGATGAGTGCGTGAATCTGTAGATAATTCGATGTATTCGAATATCTCGAATTTATTAGATTATTTAATTGCACAATCGTGTTCCAATATATTTGTATTCTTTTTTGTATCGTTCAGATCTAAATAAAATTTCTGAAATATATCTCATTTTCTATATCGTACTGAAAAAAGAATAAAACGAATGGACCGATGATATATGATGATAAATGTGTCAAGCTCGAGCGAAGTAAGGTCGCGTGAATTTTATCGTCAATTAGTATATACAAACTCGCTAATTACATTCACGAAGATACACGACAATAAACGCGCAGTAAGTGCGTGATTTCGCTGATAGTCTAAAAAAAATTTACTTTGCGATAATTGGCTTATTTATAATATAATATAGAAATAATATCTATAATATAGAAATCGTTTGAAAGCTACTTTTAAAAATTTTAACGAAAAAAGAAAAAGAAACAACGCATTTTTATAGCATTTAAGTATTTCTTTTAAGTATTTTAAAATAATTTAATTTAAAATATACGTGTTGTAACTTTGTGACTCGTAATTTATCGATTTTAATTCGGTTCTATTATGTGTATATTGTATCTGTGTAACGATAAATCGTAATACTTTATTAAATATTTGAAACATACAGAGACTTCTCGTTCATCATCAGAATCATAATAAATTAATATACAGATTTCAATTTGGGAAATTAAATGTCAAGAAATTTTGTTCTGCTTAAATATAATTTGCTTGATTTACTGTGACTTACTAACGATAGAAGCGACACAGGAATAAAACGCACCTTTGAATCTCCTCTAAAAAATTCAACAAGCATTCAATTAATCCGTCTCTTGTCACGAATTTAATTGTTACATTCTCATTTTCCGTGGACACGCTTCGCGGCTTAGATCTCTTGGCAAAAATTTAATTTCCTGGCGACGGGAAAATCGAGTTTCGCGCAAACACACGTACAGCAAATACGCAGTTGGTTGTACACGCAGAAAACGAAATACCGAACAATGTTGGCAATCGAAAGTTTTCGTCGAGCGGGACGCGAAATTCGATGCCGTGGAGACCCATGTGGGTAGTCGTGTCGGAAATAGTCCACGATGCGCGCCGCTAACTTCCGCCTGTCGCGTGTACATTATGTCACTCCTGTCCTGTCGCCGAGTCCTGTCACACTTCTTCGGAAACGAGAGGGATATCGAGCTGGGACTTGTCGAGCCGAATCGAAAATCTCTCGGGCCAATTGCACTTCGACACGACGTGAAACGCGCGAAATTGTATCATAAATTCAACGCGGCCGCGTGTCCTTCCAGCCCATTTGGTGGCGCGTTCATTTTTCACCAACAATCCTATTATATTTTCTACCACGCGCGATAGCGGTATCAAATTTGTGCATTAAACCGACTTTCAAAGAGCAAAATGATATATTTACCTTATATGCGTGCGGATGCAATTAATTAATATCATTCGTAATATCGTACGCCCACATTGCTATTTTAATCATTCGAGTTTGTTTGAACTCATGACGCGATACAACTATTCACTTTGTCTCCAGGTATCTTGTTGCCAATTACATTACTGCTAACCAAATTCCAGTATTACGAAAAGCATACAATTCAGGCTGGAGCTCGGAATTGAGTGCGGAACTCGATCTTGGTCATTTTCACCTCCTACAATTGCACTGCGTGCTTGCGCGAGCGAGTGATTTAACGTCCTGTTTTACCGCTACCCTCTCGACTTGCTCTCTGTCTGATATTTGTTCTCGTAACATTCTCGCGTTGAACTCGCTCGGTTGGATCGGTCACGGCGAATAAAATCTTGGTCGCGATCGTATATCGGATGCCACGATCGCATTATTCGAGTGCCACCGATAAGCGACTTCCGCAAATACAATTTAAATCACCGTTCTTAATTAAATCAACGTCGGTTTGCTTCTGCAAGCGAGCGTTGCAAGTTTGAAGATAATAATATAGGCAGAGTAGACCGGAAGTTTCTTCCTTGCCTGATAATTCGAGCACCGACGTTTACGCAATTGTATTATTATTACGTATCACTTTGTTATTATTGCGTTTATAAACAATATATTTTCGAAATTTACCACTAATTTTAAATCTTACAGAAACAGTTCATGTTTAATTATTATAAATACGAATAATTAAATTTCCAATAGTTTCTTCTTCTTAAACAATCAAACTTTAATTGTAAAATATCATACGGATGATCAAATATCTATCTGAAACTCTGAAATTAATTATTATTCTCTTCATAAATTATATAATTTTTTGCAATAACAATTTAATATAATCAGCAGTCTGATTAAGCTTTAATCGCAAAAAGCTTAGCATATGCTACTGGAAATAATATGCAAATACTAATGGAATATAATAAAAAAGTAATATAATTATAAATAATAAAACACATTTATTATTAACCCAGCTCTGTCGCGTGAAATATTTTATTCTGTGTCGATATAATT